GTGCAGGGTCTGCTGGCTGGGTGCTGGCAGGCTTGCACCTGGCACGGGCACCGTAGCCAGCCCGTGCCCCTTTAAGGAGTCCAGGGCCGGGAGGGGGGCAGACGAGTTTCCCTGGTGTTGGCCAGAGTGGCCACCAGGGAAACCTGGGGAGGGCTAGCCTCCCACTAGTTCGAATTAAGGGGCTACACAGCCCTTAATTCAAACTAGTAAATTCGAACTAGGATTAATCCTCGTGGAATGAGGTTTACCTAGTTCGAACTAAGCGCTCCGTTAGTTCGAATTAAGTTCGAACGAACAGAGCGCTAGTGTAGCGCCTATGAAAGTTAGTTCGAACTAACTTTGTAGTGTAGACATACCCGCAATGGGCCCAGCTTGCTGTGCTCCTCCAGCCACGGCACTCCACTTCTGGTGTGTGAGTGTGCAGTAGTCCTGCTCCCTCCCACTTGCAACGCAAAGTCCCAGACCCTGCACCACCCTAGGGATGTTCCTGCCCCTTGACACAGGGCTTACGTCTCCAGTGCTCTGCTGCTTTCTCCCATTACCCATGATCTCCACTGCTCCCCCCAACCTCTGTCCAGGGCTTAAATTTGTCCTCTGCCTTGCCAAGCTTGAGTAAGTCTGTTCAGAAAAATGATTCTTGTGTGCTTGTTAATATCACTTTTCACAACAGCTTTTCTGGACAGCAATAAATAAATTGCAATGGTTTGAATGTGTATATGTAAATATTTGTTTCTCCTAAAGCTAATCAAGAATTTTATGAAAAAGTATGAGAGTGGCCATCAGCAAGAATTGGCAGATGCCCTCTGAAGTCACCAAAAATTGTATCTTGAGAACACCTGCACTAGACTTTCTAGTAAGCAATTAAAGTGAAATTACACTGAGAGCTATATGAAAAGATCCCTTCTTACTTGAGAGATAATAGTAACACTTTTAATTAATAATAACTATATACCTAGTTCCTGTACATATCTTTTTCCCATACATATATTTATGACTTTTCTAAGGGGGCAAAAAAGTTTACTACTTGTATTCCTATTTTATCACAGCTAAGATAAAAAGCTGGAGGCTATTCTGGCTTGTAATTTACCAACAGAATTGTTAACTAAGTTCAACTGCAGGGCCAAATTCTACATGAATACAGCTCCAGTGGTGAACAAACTAGATGGTTCTGGGAAAACCTGGACTTGCACATGTGCAATGGAATAATTTGTCCTGTAGCATCTTTGTTGCAATGCTCAGAATGGCAACCCAAAAATTTCAAGTGCCTTGAAAATCACAAAGCCTGAGTTAGGTACTTAAACTACATGCACAATAAATGGAGAGAGACAAGCTCTGAGGATGGGATCCACAAAAGCTCCATAGAGAGTGATGTCCTTGAATGAAGTACAGGCAGTCCCTGACTTACGAACGGGGCTCCCCTGGAGGACACGGACTGCGGGATCTCGCGGTCCTGCCGCCCATGTACTCCGGGGCTTTCTCCGCGTCTCCCTGGTCTGCAGACCAGGAAGACGCGGAGCAAAGCCGCGGGGGGG